TCATTTCTTCTTTGATTTCTTAAAAATTAGCAAAAAGCTGCCACAGTCTGTTTGTATAAACTTTCTTGATTATCTTTAAAATAAAATATCTTTTGGCTGGGAAATAAAAAAATGCATCCCTTTTGTTCAGTCTGGCAGAGTTGAGGAGAGATGGTGTGGCTAAAGATGCACTTGAACATTGCAGTAGAGTCCGGTAAGCTGAGGGGAAGGGGAAGCATTCTTCACAACTTGTGTAGAGTAGGTTCCCAATGAAAATGGACAAAAGCAAGGAGGTTTAAATTAAATATCTGGGTTGATTTTTTTATTCCACTGCCAATAATCCTAATTAATTGCACTGCTTTGGGGGAATAAAAAATTTCCGGTAATAATTTCTTTTTTTTTTTTTAAAGATTTTATTTATTTATTTGACACAGAGAGACACAGCGAGAGAGGGAACACAAGCAGGGGGAGTGGGAGAGGGAGAAGCAGGCTTCCCGCCGAGCAGGAAGCCCGACGCAGGGCTCCATCCCAGGACCCCGGGATCATGACCTGAGCCGAAGGCAGACGCTTAACGACTGAGCCACCCAGGCGCCCCTAAGATAATTTCTGTATACACTTTTACAAGATCATCTGAAACCAACTAATTAGAAGCAGATATTCAACTACTCAGAATTGGATTTAAACTGGTTATTCACTTCTAGGATGGGCTTTTACAATTGTCTCAAAATCTATTAAGAATATATTTCTGGGGGGCACCTGGGTGGTTCAGTCAGTTAAGTGTCTGACTCTTGATTTCGGCTCAGGTCGTGATCTCAGGGTCATGAAATCAAGCCCCACGTTGGGCTCCATGCTGAGCGTGAAGCCTGCTTAAGATTCTCTCTCTCTCTCTCCTTCTGCCCCTCCCCCCAGTTTGCTCAGGCATATGTGCACGTACACACACTCTCTCTAAATAATATATATATATTTTTGAAGTCTTGCATTAATATTTGTGTGTGTGTATATATTGAGCTTTAATAATCATGTAATTTGAATTAACCTAAATTCTTCTGTTTATTCCTATTTTTGTTTCTTACATCTTTTCTTACAAAGAAGCAAGAATTCCTAAAACCACATAGTCAGGGGTTGATAAAATCTAATCAAATCATGCTAATTTTATCAAATATAAATGACTTCATTTTCATGGTAGTTTCTACATGCTTACTTGTAGTAAATATATTTAGATTCATTTTCCCCAACAACTCATGACTTAAGTAGGTAGATCTGCCTATTACTTTCAAAAAGGATTAGACAGAGAGGTGTTAGCTGTACCCAACAAAGGAGTAGTAAGCAGATAAAAAAGAAACAAGGAAAATCTCCAAAATAAATTAAATGAAAAAATAAAAATGCAGAATAGTGTGTATATAGTAAGTTATCTTTGCTGTAACGAAATGAAAATTGAGGGGCGCCTGGGTGGCTCAGTCAGTTAAGCATCTGCCTTCAGCTCAGGTCATGATCCCAGGGTCCTGGGATCGATCCCCACGTCCGGCTCCCTGCTCAGCGGAGAGCCTGCTTCTCCCTCTCCCTCTGCCTGCCTCTCTGCCTACTTGTGCTCTCTCTCTCTGTCAAATAAATTAAAAAAAAAAAAAAGAAGAAGAAACGAAAATTGAACAAGCTGTTTCTAAAATGTACTTGGAAATGTAAATGGAATAGCCAGGAATAGCCAAGGCAGTCTTGCAAATGAAGGACAAAGCGAAAAGAATATACAATATCATGACCTATTATAGAGCTTAAACAATTAAGAGAGTATGGTACTAGTACAATAGTAGACAAATAGGTCAAAAATAGGGTGTCCAGAAATAGACATACACGTACATCAGCACATGATTTAGGACAAAAGTGATACTCTAGTGTAAGCATGAAAGAATGGTTACCTCAGTATCTATATTAGAAAAAAATAAATCACAAGCCTTCCTCCCACTAGATTGAAAAAATGAGTATGAAAGGTTAAATAAAAAAGTTTTCAGAAGGAAATGTAAGGTGACACCTCATGTCTCTAAGGTAAGCAATTACTTCTAAGAAGGATAGCAAATACTTCTAAATTTGCTGTAAAGGTAAGCAAATTAATAAACTAAGCTTTATTAGAATCAACAACTTCTGTTCCTCAAAAGACATCCTTAAGGGAGTAAAAAGGCAAGCCACAGAATGGAAAAAGATACACACAATAAGTATATACAACAAAGGACTTGAATGCCAAAAATATAAGAATTCATACAAATTGACAAGAAAGGAACCCAGTAATACAATAGAAAATGGGTAAAGAATTGAACAGACACTTCACAAAATCAGTTCTACAAACAGCCAATAAGCGTATGAAACAGTGCTCAGTTCATTAGTCATCAAGGAAATGCAAAGTAAAACCCCAATGTGATACACCACTGACTAGGTCCCAGAATTGCTATAATTAAAAAGACATTAAATACCAATTGTTGGGAGGATGTGGAGCAAATGAAATTCTCATACCCTTCTGGTGGGAGTATAAATTGGTACAACCATTTGAAAAGTTGTTTGGCTTTCTTAAGATCTAGCGATTCCACTCCTAAATACATACTCAATAGAAATGCTTGGGGCCTGGGTTGCTCAGTCGGTTAAGCACCTGGCTCTTGATTTCGGATCAGGTCAAGATCTCAGGGTCATGGAATCAAGCCCTATGTTAGGCTCCACTCTCAGCAGGGAGAAAGAGATTTTCTTTCTCTCTGCACGCACCTCCCCCCCCCCTCCCCTTCCCTGCTTGTGCTCTATAAATAAAATCTTAAAAAAAAAAAAAAAGAAATGCTTATATTTGTTCACCAAATTACATGTATAAGAATGTTAATAGAAGCACTTTTTGTAATAGCCTAAAATGTATGCCATCAATTATAGAATAGATAAAAAATTATCACAAATTTCCCATAAAAGAATACTATGAACAAATGAGAATGAACGAACCATTGCTATACACAACAGCATGTATGATTCTTAGAAATAATGTTGGACAAAAGAAACAATAAAAACATAGTGTATAAATCTATTCGCTGAAGTTTAAAAACAGGCAAATGATATTTGTGGGTTTTTTTATTATATTAGTCACCATACAGTACATCATTAGTGTTTGATGTAGTGTTCCATGATTCATTGTTTGATATTTGTTGTTAGAAGTCAATAGTGATGGGGGCTCCTGGGTGGCTCAGTCGGTTAAGCATCTGCCTTCAGCTCAGGTCATGATCCCAGAGTCATGGGATCAAGTCCCACATCGGCTCCCTGCTCAGTAGGAAGCCTCCTTCTCCCTCTTCCTCTGCCCCTCCCCCAGCTCACACACTCTCTCACATGCTCTCTCTATCAAATAAATAAATAAAATATTAAAAAAAAAGTCAATAGTGATTAACCTGAAAGGCAGGAAGCAAGGGATAAGCCTAGAGGCCTAGAGAAAGGCTTTCAGGGTTCAGGTAATGTTTCTTCATCTGCTTCCATGCATGTGTTTATTTTGCAAAAATCCACTAAATTATACTATAATTTGTGCACCTTGATGCATGCATTTTATATGCCAATTTAAAAGTTTACCAAAAAAAGACTTAAAAGTCAAATTGAAGGTGCCTCTACTGACCTAAGATGAGTCAGTATGAACATCAGAGAGAATGTCAGCAATGTATGAAATACATCAAATATACAAAAATCCAGGAATTTATAATCACACTAGAAAAAAAAAATCACCCGGGGCACCTGGGTGGCTCAGTTGTTAAACGTCTGCCTTCGGCTCAAGTCATGATCCCAGGGTCCTGGCTCAGGTAATGATCCCAAGGTCCTGGGATCGAGCCCCGCATGGGGCTCCCTGCTCTGCAGGAAGCCTGCTTCTCCCTCTCCCACTCCCCCTGCTTGTGTTCCCTCTCTCGCTGTGTCTCTCTCTGTCAAATAAATAAATAAAATCTTTAAAAAAAAAAAAAATCATCCACCCTTTGGAGACATAAATGCACCAACTTGTTATTCTAAAAACAGATAAAATAGAACTAATCAAGCATTATCCTGCCTCTCCTCTATGAATTGTATTCCAGGATAATCAAATAGTTGATGAGAGAACATTCTTATTTGAAGAATTCCAGATAATAAATGCAAAAGGAATAACAAAATTCAACATCCACCACATTGCACCCTGTAATGGAATAATGGCATGTGTCTGGCGATAGAGTAAGAAGCACGCAGCACCACCTAAATGAATCCAAAACTAATCTGGCTTCTGGCTCAGAATGTCAGTTCATAGGAAATATGATAAAAGAAGACATTAAATGAATCCCAAGGATGTAATCAGCCACATTCAGAAGGTGGAACATTTACAGGGCAAGTAATTTGATTTCTTCCAAAAACAAATACCATCAGAGAAAAGGTAAGGTAGGTTAGGGAGGAGAGCGGGGAGCTGACTGTTATGGATTGAAACTGAAGGGATACTGCAATCAAATCAATTTTGAACTCATTTGGATCTTAAGTTAAATAAGTCATCTTTTAAAAGACATTTTTAGATAATCCAGAAAATTTTAAATGGACTGGATATTAGATATTATTAAAGAATTATTGTTAATTTATTGTAGTCATGTTTTATTTTTAATTTTTTTAAAGATTTTATTTATTTATTTGACAGAGACACAGAGAGAGAGCACAAGTAGGCAGAGTGGCAGGCAGAGGGAGAGGGAAAAGCAGGCTCCCCGCTAAGCAGAGAGCCCGATGTGGGGCTCAATCCCGGGACCCCAGGATCATGACCTGAGCCGAAGGCAGATGCTTAACTGACTGAGCCACCCAGGTGCCCCATGTAGTCATGTTTTTAAAAAGTAATTATCTGTTATAGATATTATTGAACTATTTATGGATGAGATGATATATAATGTCTGTTATTTGCAAAAGAAAGAGGTAGTGATTTGTGAGACAAGATTGGTTAATGGATAATCAATGGTACTCTCTGATATGTAGACAGTGGTTCACTGTTGAGTATGTTTGAGATTTCATACATGAACACTTACCCCATCTTTAGCTTTCACCAAGAGATCATAGGTTGTGGGATCCCTTTCCCTATCGATATCTTGAGAAACACAGATTCGCCCATCATGTGGGTCAATCTGGAATGCTGGAGACACGTCATAGCTTTGGAATCCATCATAAAGAGAATACTCCACAAAGCCATAGAGTCCTGCATCTGCATCAGAAGCTTTAACCTACGAGACAAGAGGGTGGTTGGTAAGGAAATGGAAATGTTAACAATACTTTTCAGTTGGTCATGAATTACTATCATGATTTGTACAACCGAGGTATCCCTATAGCCATTCATTCACAAAGTATAGGCTTTGGTTTTCACTCTCTTTTACCTTCTGTGACAGCTCACCCTCACTTTTCCTCCTCCGTGTCTGAGTTCTCCTCAGTTTCCTTTGCTTGTTCCTATACTTTCATGTGATCTTGAAAGTTTGAGTTCCCCGAGGCTCAGCCCTCGGCCCTTTGTCTTCTTATTCCTCTCACCATGCCTAAGTGATCTCATCCAACTTCAAGGCTTTAAAAACATCCCCATGTTAACAGTTTGACAGCATATCTGTGGATTCCCCCTCATACCTAAGCTTTTCAAGTGTTGGGCTCAACACCCCACCTCCACCCTTCAGAGCAGCATGGGAGGGCAGAGAAATCAAGGCAGTAAGTGGCATGATTACTAGTAACCCAATCCAGTTGACACAATTCACCCTGGAGTAGGAGATTTGAGTATCTAAGCCAGGTTTCCTTGCAGGAATAATGCCCCCATCAGGACCCTGCACAGTCATGCTCACTGACCACTGCACCGAGGCACCTTGCCCAGTGGGGGCATGGAAATGAAATCCAGCCCATGCTCTGCTTGCCAACACTAACATGGAGCTGTAAGTGCCCAGAGGTAAGGACACCTTTCTCTTTGACCATAAATACTGCTTATGTTAGCAGTGGTCCTGTGCCTGGTAGAAAAGATGAAGTAACTAGAATTATGAAGGCAATTTATTTATACTAACTGTGGGAATACACAGTGAGAAAGACAACAGTCTATATTGAACTCAAAACATTTTGAGCTCATAGGCCTGGTATAGCTCTCTTGATTTGTTAACCCAACTAATAGTAACAGCAAATATCTATATAACACTTAAAATAAAAGAAGAATCTTAAGGGAAGATTAATCAAAAAAAGGGAAGAAAAAAAGGAAAAAGAAGTATAAGTATACTTACAGATTTATACTTATAACCTGTAATGAACTCCATTTTACAGACAAGAAAAGTCAGGCTCAGGGGCGCCTGGGTGGCTCAGTCGTTAAGCGCCTGCCTTCAGCTCAGGTCATGATCCCAGGGTCCTGGGATCGAGCCCTGCTTCGGGCTCCCTGCTCTGCGGGAGGCCTGCTTCTCCCTCTCCCACTCCCCCTGCTTGTGTTCCCTCTCTCTGTCAAATAAATAAATAAAATCTTAAAAAAAAAAAAAAAAAGTCAGGCTCAGAGAGCTTAAGTAACTTGCCAAAGATCACATAGCTAAAAAGTATCAAAACTGGGACTCAAATCCAGGCAGTTGGACAGCGTTTAACTCTAGGCTGGAAAAAAAGTGATTTACTTTTTATCGGTAAAGTATACATGAAGGAGTTATACCCTTCATTATTATGCTTCCCAAATAAAACCTCATACCAATAATATGTTCAACAACCAATGTTCTCAATAAGCCTTCCCCTTCATCCCATTCTATCTTGAGCGTATAACTGGGATGTGACTTTGGGGGTTCTTCGGGCAGTCTGGCGCAGTGGTTCTCAATCAGGGTCAAGTCTGCCCCCACCAGGACATTTGGCATGTCACAACTGGGGAGAGGGTGCTGTGGCATCTGGGGGTGGAGGACAGAATTGCTGCTCATCTTTGTATAATACCCAGGACAAACCCCACAACACATAATGATCTGGCCCAAAATGTCAACAGTGCCCAGGCTGAGAACCACTGCATCTGAGTAACGTCAACAATGGGCACTATTATTTCCCTCTTTAATTGCCTTTATTTGTCTTCAACTGATGACACAGTCTTGTAAATTTCTGTTTACTCCCATCTATCTCACATTCTCTGGCAATATTATTTATTCTGTGCAACCAGCTAACATGTTTTGAGAGTTATTCTTCTCATCAGATGGGCTGAACCAGGAAATCCACAAACTTCCCAACTACAAAGAACTAAATTCCAAGTACATTTGGTCTATTCCATTCTGGCAGCTGTTAATGATTTAGTAGCCTCGAGTTCCCAAAGAGCCCAAATATGTTTTCTAAAAACATATGGTATTCTCAATAATTTTGGTTTGATTGGAAGATAAATATAATGAACTCTAAATTCTAAAACTCATTCTTGGCCTTTAATAGCCATATTAACAAGTAATTTGGCTTATATAAAACGAGTTTCCTTATTTCCATTTTTGAGACCTTTTTCTCATCTGGACTTTTGGCAGGCAAAACAGAAAAAGTAAAAAATGGGATAAGAGTACTGATCTCAATTTATGTCAGCAGCTCAGATTCTGAGCTTCAGAATAATAAAATAAGAATGTATTCCTCCCTGTTTTTTACTCAACTCCCTAAAAATACTAACCTAGTATTCTAGAACAACATATTTTCCCTACTAGTATTTGGTCTTGAACACCAATAATTAATTTGGCATCTTTATGAGGTCTATATTTTCCAATATCCATTGACTTACACATAAAATTTAGGCAATTTAAATAATAGAAAATGGGGAAAGCTTTGCCAGATCTTCAAGAGGAAATGTGATTAGTAAGTAAGCTCACTGGACCTTTTCTTCAGAGATAGCTGCTTAAATCAAAAAAGAGAGACATCTGGTCAGAGTCTATTATCACCATCTTATGGTGCTAATTTTGGGATCCAGAGGCGATCTCAGGACGATTTAATCCTGAATCTACTCAAAAAGCCACGTTCCAGCACCCTTGGTGCTGTCCCTGTGTTCCTCATCCTACCCTCAATCTACCTGTTTTAGACTGAGATGAATATGGTGATTTTTACTCTAAACTTACTTCGAGTCACAGTTTGTTCTCCCTTAGTCTGATCTCTCACAAATTTAATGCAGACATTATAAAAAATGAAAATATTAATGTGATATTAAGGTTCACCCAATTCCCTTATTAGCTTTCCGAAACTAAAAAAAAAATTCACTGCCTCCCTATATTAACATCTGGGGAGACAAATTGAGAACACTGGCTCTTGAATACATGTTGTTTGGATGTTCTATAAATGGAATGGACCTATCTGCAATTCACTCACCAGCACAGACTCCTCTATTTGAGAGGGTCTCCATTTATTTATTTATTTATTTATTTATTTATTTATTTATTTATTTATTTATTTATTTATTTATTTATATTATGTTCAGTTAGCGAACATATAGTACACCACTGATTTTTGATGTAGTGTTCGACGATTCATTAGTTGTGTATAACACCCAGTGCTCATCACCACACGTGCCCTCCTTAATACCCATCACCTGGTTTCCCCATCCCTCTTCCCCCCTCCCCTCCAGCAACCCTCAGTTTGTTTCCCACAGTCCAGAGTCTCTCATGGTTTGTATCCCTCTCTGATTTCTTCCCATTCAGTTTTCCTGGGAGGGTCTCCTTTTTAACAACTGGGCAGCTTTGGGGAGGTTACCTGCCCAGCCATTCACTTTGGTACCTCAAAACCCAAAAGTCAACCCTAAGTCATAAGACGACACATTATGAGTAACATTGTCCTTTACCTACTCCTGGGAAATCATATCACTAAATTCAGTGACATTTCTAGAAAAGCCTCAAAGCCCAATCAAAAAAATGAGCAATTCAACAAGAAAGTCCTAGAAAAAAATGGTTGCAAAAAAAAAATGGCTTGTTTAGATGAAATTTAAAATGCAATAACCCATTTTAATTTTTTTTCTTTTTGTAATTTCCTAAATTTCTACCATGAGCATATAACAACAGTTTGTTTGAAGAAACCAAACTATTGACACAACACACTCACAAACATAACTTCAAATAGAAGGAAGAAAAAAATTACAAAATAACTTTTTAAATTCTATGTGCTTGGCCAACCACTGATCCCACAATGAAAACAGGATTATAATATTCCAGGGGAAGCTGGTTTCAGCACCGAGGACCACAACAGATGCAAGTAATGCCACTGAACACAGTTTTGGCAAGTTCACCAATGACTTGTCTTACCAAATCTAATCATCAAGGCTCAATCCTTATTTTCTACACACCTCAGCAGCTTTCCATATGCAAATTGTCTCCTTATTGAAACACTTCCTCCCCAGACATCACGTTCCAACTCTCCTGCTCCTCATACACCTCACTGACCTCCTTTCAGTTTCCTTCACTGGCTCCAAGTTCTCTTCCCTGCTTCCGAATGCTCTCATGCCCCACAGCTTAGTCTTGAGACCACTTCTCTTTTCAATCCACACTCCATTGCCTGTGATGAGTGAATGGTGGCCCCCAAAAGACAGCTCCATGTCCTAATCCCTGGAACCTGTGGATATTGCCTTACATGATAAAAGAGTGAATATTGCCTTATATTGTAAAACATCGCTCGGTTAAGGATTTTGAAAGCAGCTTGTCGGGCGCCTGGGTGGCTCAGTCGGTTGAGCGACTGCCTTCAGCTCAGGTCATGATCCCGGAGTCCCGGGATCGAGTCCCGCATTGGGCTCCCTGCTCGGCGGGAAGTCTGCTTCTCCCTCTGGCCCTCCCCCCTCTCATGTGCTCTCTCTCTCATTCTCTCTGTCAAATAATAAATAAAATCTTTAAAAAAAAAAAAAAAGAAAGAAAGAAAGCAGCTTGTCGTGGATTATCCAGATGAGCCATTAATCCCAAAACAAGTGCCCTTAGAAGAGAGAGGCAGAGATTAGAGTGGGGGGTCACAAACCAGGGAACACCAGCAAGCATTAGAGGCTAGATGAGTCAAAGGGAGTGAGAAAGGCCCTGCAGGACTCTGGACTTCTAGCCTCCAGAATTATGAGTAACAACAATTTTTGTTGTTGTAAGCCAGAGAATTGATGGTTATTTGTTACAGAAGCCCTAGAAATCAATATACTCCTGAGTGATCTGACCCAGGACCACAGTGCTAAACCAACATATGTTCTTCCAATATTGCTATCTTTGGTGCTCCAGACTCATGCATCATCCTACTACCAATTAGACATCACCTCTCAGGTGGC